ATATGTTTGTTACTAAGCTTCTGTTCGATGTTTTCCAAACACAAATAATTTGGGAGACAATGCTACAAAATCTATCCTTGCTGAATGTAATTTTATTGTTGTTAACCTGTAAAAGAACAGACCTGACGATCCACCTAATGTGAACTCTTATATAAAAATGTCGAATTAATACTGTTAATTTGGCTTTGAGTGGAGAGGGTTCGCTGATATGGATAACATTCACCTCTCTAGAGAAATATACCCTTGCAATTGGTAACTGGTTAGATTCAAACTCGAGTCAAAATGTTTCCTTAAAAAAAATAAAAGTTGTATTTGAAAAGTTATGCTAAGGCTTTAAATTTAATGGAATAAAACCAATAAATAGTCATCAAAACGCACTCTACATTTACTGGTCGGGCAGCTCACACAAATTGTCTCCAGGAGAATCCATAGGGATTATAAATCCAAGTAGAATGGTTAAAGCATGATATAACCCCAGCTACACCCAAACTGTAACCATACAACAGGCGTTTCACAATACTATGCAGTCTTCGGCAAATCTATTAGGACAACAAATCAAGAAAGTATGTTTATAATTACACCCTAGCAGCATCTCTAAAATATCCATAAAACATATATATTAAATTTTCTTTAAAATATTCACTATGAAACACTTACCTTGCTGTCCAGGCGCCGCGCGGTCCGAAGAAGAACCTCCGCAGCAGTTTCCAGCGTCGCCGCACCAGAGACTCCTGGTTCTTCAGCTGGTTGTTGAGGTTGTTGTAGCGAACCGTCTCCTCAGTCTGGCGAGCGCGGTACCCAGCCACTATCTGCGACTGTAGCAACGAATAAACTATTACATGAGATCTTAACAAGCTTATTTGGAAGCAAATGGTTGGCAATAAGTACCTGTTGATAGAGGTGACAGAACGTCCTATGTTAGAGCTCTAGCTGAAGTGAAAACTGAATAGTTAATCCGAGCCACCGAAGTAGTGCGCTGATATCAATCTAAGATTTACGTAAAATGTGCCAACATTCACCATGCCAAAGAGGCAACTTCTATCGTAAATTTTAGCATCTTTTACGTGACATAAACTCACACTCTTTTTTTTAGGCACGGTCAACTATGTTAAATTTCAATAAAATTTAGCTACAGCTGCTTCATATTTATGGGAAGTCTACTGCAGTATCCAAAGGTAATTGCAAGTTAGCTTGTTTGATTGAATATTTTTCTCCCTTGGTATATGAGGCATAGGCAGAAGTATGTTCGATGGCTATAATCGTTTTAGGTTGAAGTGGACATAGAGATCATCAAATGTTTTCACAGATTTCAGAATGTTTTCAAATGATTTCAAATGTGTTCGCAGATGTTTTCACAATAATAAGTTTTACATACATCAAATAGTCCAACGATTAATATTGCTCATCAGCTTACATGTTTCTTTGAGACAACATTTTCAAAGCTTGCAACTCGTCAAAAACAAAATTAAAACACGGACGACTCGAACAGATAACACATTAAAATGGTACAAATACACAAACATTTTCAAACATTTAAATGAATATTGAATTGTTTTCAAGTGTTAGTGTTTAGCTTCTATGGAAAGGTAAACGATAAACTGATGGGGAAAGTAGCTTATATAATTTTCAATTAAAATTTATACACCATTTATTTTTCTCAATTTTAATTCAGTTGTAGTTGTATGTGTATCTTGTATAGGATTGAATCTACTATACTAATACTCTGATTTATTTTTTAATATTCTCGTCTGGATGTGATGATGACACAATTGTGTTGAAACCATGATAACCAGGTACTTCCACTAGTGCGAGCGAAGTACGTAAACCACTCATGAAATCTTAACATCAACCACTTGGTTCATTTAATCACTACAACGTCATCGACTAAAATAGAACAAACAATAGTGGGTTCACACACAACTCTACACCTTAATTAATCGATTGATCGATCCCGTACGGGGAAACCGTATGTGAAAGCGTGGCAACCGGGGAAAACAAAATAAAGGGCTGATGTGCGCGCCGGCGGCACGGGGATTTATTGGCCATATAAATCAATGTATTAGGAGAGAAATAATGCAATCTTGATCTGTATATGAGGCACTACCAAATACCGAATCAAGTTATAAGTCAGGCGCCCAGCCCTGCGGCAATACAGCGGACCCACCTAGATGATCTGGCCTAACACCACAAGACTCGAATTTATGTGTGTACACTTCCATCGCTGCTAATGCATATTTAATTGCTTGTTTATATCCTTTTGACAGTGTGCGATGAAATTTATTGACACCAGGATTTATGTAAGAAACGAACTCTGAAGCTATAGTTGCAATTGTTTTTTTACAATAACTAAATGTGCCAAGCGAGATTATGATTACTATAGGCTAGTCTCGATATTATTATAAAGTGTGTAGAGGAAATTTGTTGTAAAGCTTTTTTTTTAGTTTACATTATATAAATAAACTAAGCTAATCTTTAAGTTAGTCTAGTACATCTCAAAGGCAGCTTTCACATGTCTAAAAAGAGTCTAATCATTTCAAAATCAACCGTTTGATTACGGCATATTTAAATTATTTTTGACAATAATACGATCTCCAAGGATTTCTAAGAGACCGGTTAAGACAAAAATCTATGATCGTTCCAGACTTTTCCTTACATTTTGAACCATGTAAAAATACAATCTTTACAGATAAGATTTGTATGTGATCTATGAACAAAATAACCTTAGTTTTTACACTTTTTATGAGTTTTCAACAGCAACATAGGCTGATTTTTCTGACGAAATACTCAGTAGGTTCATGCTGTGACCAAACGTTTGTGAGGTGTTTTTCATGTCTTAACCGTAAGACTCACCTGGAATCGCATCTTGCTCTCGCCGATCTCACGGTTGCGTTTGTGTATGCACAGTTTGGAGCCTTCGTAACACTCAGCCCAGAATGTGTTCATAGTGTCAGTCAGGTGACCACTCAACACTGCTTGGTAACTCTCGTACAGTGGCTTCACCTGTAACATCACACATGATGTAGGCTTGGGTAAGGTAACACTCAGCCCAGAATGTGTTCATAGTGTCAGTCAGGTGACCACTCAACACTGCTTGGTAACTCTCGTACAGTGGCTTCACCTGAAACATCACACATGGACATGTAGGCTTGTTAAGGTAACACTCTGCCCAGAATGTGTTCATAGTGTCAGTCAGGTGACCACTCAACACTGCTTGGTAACTCTCGTACAGTGGCTTCACCTGTAACATCACACACGGAGATGTAGGCTTGGGTAAGGTAACACTCAGCCCAGAATGTGTTCATAGTGTCAGTCAGGTGACCACTCAACACTGCTTGGTAACTCTCGTACAGTGGCTTCACCTGAAACATCACACATGGACATGTAGGCTTGTTAAGGTAACACTCTGCCCAGAATGTGTTCATAGTATCAGTCAGGTGACCACTCAACACTGCTTGGTAACTCTCGTACAGTGGCTTCACCTGTAACATCACACACGGAGATGTAGGCTTGGGTAAGGTAACACTCTGCCCAGAATGTGTTCATAGTGTCAGTCAGGTGACCACTCAACACTGCTTGGTAACTCTCGTACAGTGGCTTCACCTGAAACATCACACATGGACATGTAGGCTTGTTAAGGTAACACTCTGCCCAGAATGTGTTCATAGTGTCAGTCAGGTGACCACTCAACACTGCCTGGTAACTCTCGTACAGTGGCTTCACCTGTAACATCACACATGGAGATGTAGGCTTGGGTAAGGTAACACTCAGCCCAGAATGTGTTCATAGTGTCAATCAGGTGACCACTCAACACTGCTTGGTAACTCTCGTACAGTGGCTTCACCTGTAACATCACACACGGAGATGTAGGCTTGGGTAAGGTAACACTCTGCCCAGAATGCGTTCATAGTGTCAGTCAGGTGACCACTCAACACTGCCTGGTAACTCTCGTACAGTGGCTTCACCTGTAACATCACACACGGAGATGTAGGCTTGGGTAAGGTAACACTCTGCCCAGAATGTGTTCATAGTGTCAGTCAGGTGACCACTCAACACTGCCTGGTAACTCTCGTACAGTGGCTTCACCTGAAACATCACACACGGAGATGTAGGCTTGGGTAAGGTAACACTCTGCCCAGAATGTGTTCATAGTGTCAGTCAGGTGACCACTCAACACTGCCTGGTAACTCTCGTACAGTGGCTTCACCTGAAACATCACACACGGAGATATAGGCTTGGGTAAGGTAACACTCTGCCCAGAATGTGTTCATAGTGTCAGTCAGGTGACCACTCAACACTGCCTGGTAACTCTCGTACAGTGGCTTCACCTGAAACATCACACATGTAGATATAGGCTTGGGTAAGGTAACACTCTGCCCAGAATGTGTTCATAGTGTCAGTCAGGTGACCACTCAACACTGCCTGGTAACTCTCGTACAGTGGCTTCACCTGAAACATCACACATGTAGATATAGGCTTGGGTAAGGTAACACTCTGCCCAGAATGTGTTCATAGTGTCAGTCAGGTGACCACTCAACACTGCCTGGTAACTCTCGTACAGTGGCTTCACCTGAAACATCACACATGTAGATATAGGCTTGGGTAAGGTAACACTCTGCCCAGAATGTGTTCATAGTATCAGTCAGGTGACCACTCAACACTGCCTGGTAACTCTCGTACAGTGTGGCTTCACCTGTAACATCACACACGGAGATGTAGGCTTGGGTAAGGTAACACTCTGCCCAGAATGTGTTCATAGTGTCAGTCAGGTGACCAGTCAACACTGCCTGGTAACTCTCGTACAGTGGCTTCACCTGAAACATCACACATGTAGATATAGGCTTGGGTAAGGTAACACTCTGCCCAGAATGTGTTCATAGTATCAGTCAGGTGACCACTCAACACTGCCTGGTAACTCTCGTACAGTGGCTTCACCTGAAACATCACACACGGAGATGTAGGCTTGGGTAAGGTAACACTCTGCCCAGAATGTGTTCATAGTGTCAGTCAGGTGACCACTCAACACTGCCTGGTAACTCTCGTACAGTGGCTTCACCTGTAACATCACACATGGAGATGTAGGCTTGGGTAAGGTAACACTCAGCCCAGAATGTGTTCATAGTGTCAGTCAGGTGACCACTCAACACTGCCTGGTAACTCTCGTACAGTGGCTTCACCTGTAACATCACACATGTAGATGTAGGCTTGGGTAAGGTAACACTCTGCCCAGAATGTGTTCATAGTGTCAGTCAGGTGACCACTCAACACTGCCTGGTAACTCTCGTACAGTGGCTTCACCTGTAACATCACACACGGAGATGTAGGCTTGGGTAAGGTAACACTCTGCCCAGAATGTGTTCATAGTGTCAGTCAGGTGACCACTCAACACTGCCTGGTAACTCTCGTACAGTGGCTTCACCTGTAACATCACACATGGAGATGTATGCTTGGGTAAGGTAACACTCAGCCCAGAATGTGTTCATAGTGTCAGTCAGGTGACCACTCAACACTGCCTGGTAACTCTCGTACAGTGGTTTTACCTGAAACAAGGTTTGGGTATATTAGTATGAATAGTTGCCCTATTTGTGAGGCAGCACCTGATCGTTTCTCAAGTTCAAAAGCCAAATTTCCCTAGAGATAGGTGTGGTAGGATGTTGTGTCTTAGTATATGCAGCATTTATGGATGCAAAACGCATTACGCATACAGATTTTGTAGGAGGACCTCACTAAATAATAAAACGTAGCATATCATAACCAATTATAGAAACGCCTCGTTTATTTAAATTCATACGAGCCAACATAACGCACCTTTGCATTTCTAAATATACATTCAAAAAATGACGATAATAATGCATGCAATACACCTATGTACTACTTAACATACATATACATTGCACATCAGATTCATAAGAAAAAATGTTTTCTCTAATCAAAATTGCTAGATGTCATTTTGCTATAATACAGATATCGTTTCATTGTGTCCATTACCAAAGATTTGTTAAACCTAGATCTCTCTTCATAAACCCAGAATGGTATGTTTTATAAATAGGACCATTGACTAGTCAACGCTAGGACGTAAAAAGACTCTTTAACCCAAATTCAAGTTTCACTCCCGCTTAGGGAGAAAAAGATCTAATTTACAGTAGACCCGTAACGCATGTATTGTAGATTAAACACGGCTGTTTTGCCGCAGAATGATGACAAAGAAATGTGCATACTTTACTAGGATGAAGCCAATTAAATTTCACTACTAAGATGCATACTACATAAACGACGACGCATCCTTAAATCGCACAACCTTAAAAATGACGAATACACCAAATCGTGTTATTTCATCCGGACATCATATCTTTAAACCCCCTTTATTAATGCAATGGCTTGATTGTAAAAACTCACATCACTATCCAGCAATATCCGTATTATTGTAGTACTTTATTTATAAAACACAAAGTCCCCAAACCATCCTTCAGTTAACAAAACTCTCACAGTTATTCCGTAGACACGCATTAGCTATACTTTCCTCAGTGTGAAACAGCCTTCTCAATCCCTTTATTGTGGATAATACCGATATCAAATTACACAGTCTCCACATTATTACAACCCAGTGTCATGGTGCGAGAGTGTTAACACTTAACGTATAATCACGGTACTCGGAAGCGACGGCTCTAGGCGAGGAAAGCCGACCGTAATTTTCATTTATTCGACGGAGAATGGCTGCCAAAATAGTGAATCGAAGTGTAAATTCGCCGTGGCATCGACGGATCGAAGACGTGCAGACGGCGTGAAAAGTCAACTTACACGCTTGGAACGGGTCACACGACAAGCCAACAATAGCAGTCTCGGCTTTTATTCCCAAGTTTGGGTTCATGAATTGGTTATTAATTTGGTAAAACCATATATATCTATTATATTATTAAAGTGGTACAATCAAATTGTATGTAAACGGTTAAGGTCATTTACCAAATAAAAATATAGGCATATGGCACATCACAATGAAGCTTAGGGTGTGTAGATTTGCCGAAAAGTATTGATATGTACGAATTTCCTAAGGGCTATACCTCACAGGCTGATTTCCAAAGGGATACGCCTGGCATGCTTCCAAAGTTAAAAGATGTAAAAATGATTAAAAGATGTTTGTGACGCTTTGTGTAGATTGAGGAGGGTTATGTTTGGTTTTAAAGTGAGGTTGTATACGTTTTGTAAAGTATTGCTCTAAGTTTCATTTTTTAATAGTAAGCTATATGTAAAGAGGCTTGACTAAAATTGAAGAATTATGGTAAAACATGTCATTCATGAAGCATCAATATGAATCAATTGATACTATTTCTACACTAAGGTATGTTGTCATATTCTTATGGATCTATTAACATCAAAAGTAGGGGGTTGAAAGTAAGTAGGTTTACGTTTTTAAATCAGTTTATATTTTCAAACTAAATCATAGAGTTGCTGTATTTTAAAACACACATCAGTACCACTTTAATAGCTCTCTACTCTAGGTCACATTTTCTTCCCGTTGCAAAGCGCGGGTATAGCAGCTTGTGTTCTTTTAGAAGAAGTAATAATTGGATAGGAGGGTTGAAGAGTTTATCTGATATTCCGAAAATTGTTGGATCTACCCAGCAGTCCTAGACCCAGAAAATAGCTCGATTGCTATGTAGTTGAAGACATCACCTGACATTCCGAAAATTGATGGATCTACCCAGAGAAGAGCTGGATAGCTGTCTGGGTAGGCCTGCCTAAAGAATAGTTTGTTTTCATGTTTTTTTAATTGGGTTCAATCTTTGATCATTGGGGGTTTGGATAAGATTAAAGTTTCAAAGATTTCATACTTAAGAGTTGCCTAGGTTAAAAAATGCCATGTTTATACCCTATGAAATCTCTTTCAACTCGTTCAGTGTAATAACGTTTTCCTTGATCGTTTAATCTTACCCATTTCCCATTAATAATTGTCCTGCGTTCATTTGTATCTCCATTCAGAAAGAAGTGTTTGATTCGTAGCATAAGCATGAACAAAAATAAACCCTAATAGAGTCTACAATGATGCAAACATTTTAAATAAAATAAGTATAAAAGTGGATTCTAACAGTGTTAATATCGTCAGTCAGAAATAATTCAAATCAAGACATATACACAATATGCACAATTAATGCCAGTGTCAATTTCCAGCAAAATGCATATATCGCTAACCTTCTTGGCGAATACAAACAATCGTTCAATTGTTCATCTCACACTCGGGTCACAAAATGTAAACTTAATTAAGCTAATATTGGTATGTATACAGTTTACACGAACAGTTCAAACTGTTCTTTTACAAAAGTATTCGAGCGACCCCGACAAGTCGACTCCGTCCAACATTTGAAAAACGTACTAAAATACATTATTCAATCCTCCACTTGATTAATTCGAGACACGGGGTTATCCGACATATTTAAGATTATCGATATGTCACACTCGGACGAACGATATATCGATACACGTGAAGTCGCGAATATACCCGCATGCTCCAACGACGAATAACTCGAATTCTTCGCCTGTTCCGCATTTATCAACTTTCCCATCGGATGTCAAATGTCACGGGATCCCGTTTTGTTTTAAATTCTAAACTGAATTATTTATGGGTTTTTTGTGTTGAGTGAAGGCATCTGTGTTATGCAGTTGCTTGTTTGCAGAAGCATAAATATCCTTTAAAACTGTTAAAACCCTTCCCGAATGATAATACTCGTTTTACAAGTCATAAATGTCACTCTGACTTTGGTGGGAGCTTAAAACTTCGCTTATCGCTCTGCCTGAGGCATGTCGATACCCATACACTCTGTGACCAATTCCATATACAAGTCTATATCCAGGAATTTCCTTCTTGATTGACTCTCAAATTGTTCAGTGTGAATGTCTTGGAGTGCAAGAACGTCGACTTAATTCTCGAGCGAACCCAAGGCGTTAACGTTCAGATTCTAAGACATTTCCCTGCTGAAACCCTTCCCGTTGAATAGGCAACTGTTAAGTTGCGACCCCATTGTTTTAAATAAGGAAAGCCAAAGATAAAAAGTATTTCCGATCGACACTACAGTTCACAATTCACATCACCACATTTGAGTCCGTAGTGAACGCTTTGGTGGCGATTCCGCAATAAAAATTAACATAAATATTCACAATCGTTGGAAAAAATTAATTAGGGAGAAAGTGACAATGCTTACTGACCGCAAAAGCCAGGCGTTTATGCTAATAGATGTCTTTTTCCGAATCTGTCATGAATTATTCGCAACATTCCCTGTAATCCTATGGTGAAGTTTTGAAGGCAATTTCGAAAAATACATTGGGATTTTAACGGGCTTGGTCAATTTTCCCGGCTAAAAACTTTATTGTCAAAGTTGCAGCAAGAGTAGGCCTACAATCTGAAACAGTAAACTACCGACTACATTTGTCATGTATTATTCACAACATTACTAGTAAACACCGTCAACGTTTGAAGGTAATTTCGCACTCCACAACATATTTGCAATTCTCGTACTCTATTTCAAGTGAAACTTTAGACTTGAGCGACGTTTAGGCAAAAACAGAAAACTTGATGTAGAAAGTAGCCGTCACGCGATCCTCGCATTCCTTCTTCCGCCGAATGGAGACTTGAAAACGCGGGAACGGACTGTGTTTCAGCGGGAACGATCTGTATTATTTACCCGGTTGAGTGAGATACCTCCCAAGTTAGATTATAGGTTCGCAAAGTCTGCCATTCTTTCAACTTTATTGTGACCTTGATTACACGCGTCTCAACAATCGGACATACGAGATTATAGCGTAGTAGGGGTACCGTGTATTAGTGTCTGTAATTGTTGGCTGCCATGCTACTGTCTGGCTAGAAGCTATTGCTGCAGAACACCTGTGCCGGATCACCATAGATAGGCGAATGCTGGGACTGATATTTCCTCAGTTCCCCTAGTATGAAAATTTGTATTGCAAATTTTAGCTTTAACTTCGTATATTACAAATGAATTGTGTTGAAAAAAAAAACATCGATAAGTTTCGTGCATGATCTATAGGCCTACGATAACACAATAGACCCCTAATTACAAGATGCGTAATTCATATATTGAGATGTTTATGGACTAGCAGTATCTCGGTTAACATAAAACGAACGGCACGACTAAATACAAAACAAATTGTGCAGGTGTGTGATAATTTGTGGAAACCGTACGGTGATTCTACAGTACTCAGTAGCGACTGGTAACACCTATGGGTAGTGTGCATGTCCCGTTGCGGTATATTACAGCAGTAAAATTGTCACAAAACAACTAAATGTATTATGATACATGTATGGCTACGGTAATTTGTAAAAAACCGGACGAAGCTATTGGTAATATCAGTGGGTTGTGGGTAAGTTAATTGCGACATATTACAGTTGTAACACTGTCGGCAATACACTGA